TCAGGGGCTGGGACACACAGCTGGGGAGATAAACAGCCCCCAATCATTGCCCTTGACTCCTTTGATCTCTTGCTAGTACCTTCCATTGGCCAAATCCAGCAAAGGCCAGTGGGTAAGAAAATCCCCTGCTTCTGTCTGTAAAGCCTCCTGTGGCACAGAGTGGGATGAAAGAGTAGAGAGTGGATCTGGGGGGCAAAAAGAAAGCATGCTGCACATGACCTTCACTGGGCTGTGGACATGTTCCCTGTACTGTTGTGTTAATATATTTTCCCTTTCTGTGACAAAATACCCAAGACAAATAACTTATGAGGAGAAAAGTTTTATTTAGGTTCATGGCTTCAGAGGTTTCAGACCATGTTTGGTTGGCCCATTGCTTTTGGGTCTGTGCTGAGGCAGCAGATCATGGTGGGGAGCAGCTGGTAGGGCAAAGCTGCTCATCTCGTGGCGGCCTGAAGGCAAACAGCAAAGGGCTGGAAGCCCAATATCTGCTCTAAGGACATACCCCAAATCATATAACTTCCTTTCACTAAGCCCCACCTCCTAAAATTTCTGCCATATTCCCCAGTGCCACAAGGCTGGCAACCAAGTCCTTTGTGGGCCTCTGGGGTGCATTGAAGACCAAAATACAGCACCTACTTTCTAGTTTTCAACACTAATCCTGTCTTTGGAATGCAGCTGGAAAAAAAAAGCAGATGAACTGGTCCCAAGAAATGATGGAATAATTCACTGACACTTCCAAATATTTAACTTGCTATAGGAAACAAATGCACCCTCTTGCACTTAGTTTGAAGGAAACTGGCTCTGTAAGTGTGCTGACCAAAATACAGCCAATCTGCCTGGACACTTTAGATCACCAGCTTTCTAATAGTACAGAAATCTTCTAGACTTCCACACCAGGAGTGGCCATGGATCTACCCTCCAGAGGCAAGATGCCATTGGCCACTGGGTTCTGACATCCCTGTCTTCTGCATCTGAGGGGTTTACATTAAGGGACCACAAAATCTTCATATTCTCTAAGGGATTCTGAACCTTCGTGCTGAAGAATGGAAGGTACCATTAGTTAATAGTTTTCTCCTAAAAAGCATTAGACTTACATTAACCCAAGTCTGTGTTCCCCTAACACAGCCAGTTTCTTAGCAATTTACTTAGTTGCTATAAAAGTCCTTGTACTTTGTTTCTACATTTCCAGATAAAATTTAAGTTAATTCCTAATCTGACTCTATTCAGACCTATGTAGACTCCTTATCATCACCTTGGCAGATTGGATGTCAATATAGACCCTTCAGATAACTAACCTTCTAGCAGGACAGAAATCTCTTCTGGACTTCCATGCCAGCTGTGGCCATGGACCCACCCTCCAGAGGCAAGGGTAGATACCACTGGCCATTGGTTCTGAACTCCATGCCTCCTCTCTCTGAGGGGTTTCCATTAATGGACACTAGGCTATAAAGCTTGGGAAGGACACAAAACATTCAGACCATAGGACCCCACTATTAATAGTTAGGTGCTTATATTTTTTATTGCTTAAATTAATAAAAGAAAAAGTTGTATTAGATTGCCAGACTGAAGCCTAGCCCACTACATCTGATGATTCATTATATCTCCTAGGCCTAGACATACTAAATTCTTTGTAAATGTTTTGGGGACAAGGGAATTAAATGAGTGAGTGTGGTTTGAAGCCAGTAATTTTCTTGTTCGTTTCCAATTTTCTCTGTGATCAGTACTTTCCTTAGTGAAAAATCAATTTCCTTCTACAAGTCTCAATTCTGAGTTTCCCTAGTTTCTTTCTCTCTACTTCTGCTAATTCCTGCCTACCTACTTACTATTTGAATCTGGATTTCATAAACATTACAGTACAGATACAGGATTTACAACAGGCAAGAACCAAAGAGCAGACTTACTAACTGAATGGAGCTCTCAAGGGGGTTGCTATTTAAAGACAAATCATTTCTGGTTATTTAGCAATTATGAAGATTAAACATGGTAATAATTTTGAGAGCACTTTGTAAAGAGATAGTGTACTGTGCAATTATATTATACAGTATACTATGCAATCATAAGTGTAGATTACAATAATACAGTTTGAGGAAAATAACTCCCAGAATTTACCCAGTTCACTCTTCCCTAAAAGCCCAAGAACATTTGTATATCTTTCTACTAGATATTAATTCAGGCTGAGGTCAAGAAATCCAAGCAATGGTTAATACTAGTTTAGAAGTCAGCAAGAATTAATATAATTTTCAAAGGTATGCTATTATAATAAAAATACTTAAGAACTAGGAGGCTGAGGCAGGAGGATTGCAAGTTGAAGGCCAGCTTCAGAAACTTAGCAAGGTCCTGTATCAAAATAAAAAAAATAAAAGGACTGAGGATGAAGTTCACTGATAAAGGGTCTGTGGGTTTCATCTTCAGTACAAAAAAAAAAAAAGGTTAATAATTGGGTTAGCTGCCAATTATGTTCATTAATAAATGCCATTATGTTCAGTAAATAAATAAATAAAATTGAAATTATTCTTGTAATTTCATGAAACAACATACCAAGAAAAGTTTCCTAAACAACATGTTTCATGTCTCTTTTTACTTAGTGATTCTTCTTTCTTTCTGTTTTTTTTTTGTTTTGTTTTGTTTTTGTTTTTTAATACCAGGGATTGGACACAGGGGCACTTTACCACTAAGCCACATCTCCAGTCCTTTTGATTTTATTTTTTGAATTTTGAGACAGGGTCTTGCTATGTTGCTGATGCTGGTCTTGAAGAGTGTACCACCATGCCAGACTTAATTAGTGATTCTTTATGTTTGTAAAAAATAAAACTTCATGTTTTTTTCCACATGTTTAATATACAAATTAATATTATTAATTTAGAAATCAAAGTATGACTGACAGTAATTAGTGCTTTTCTTATTCATGAAAAAGCAGTATACTCAGCTTCCATTGAGGTATTGTACAGATAACCTGCAGACAAATGTCAGTTCATATTAAAATTTATTTATTTTATTTATTTTTTTTAATTTGAACATCAGTAGTATGGAATACTCATTTTTAAAAAGAGGAAAACAGGGGCTGGGGCTATATGTAGATCAGGGGTAGAGCACCTGCCTCACATGTGTGAAGCATTGGGTTTGATCCTCAGCACCACATATAAATAAATAAAAATATTGTGTCCATCTACAACTAAAAATATTTTTTAAAAAAGAGGAAAACAGTATAAACATAATTATTTTGAAAGGAGGAAGAAAGAACTTTCTTGAAATTGTAAGGTGGTATGATAGCAAGCATAGGGATAGCAGACCAGAGGTGAGGAAACCAGTCCTAGTTTCATCTCTGCTACTTAGTAAACCTTTTCTTTCAGTTAATTCTGAACACTAAATATGTTTTCCCAAGTGCATTTAAATGTAATAGCCTTCAGTGATAAGCATAGGGAGATATTCCTCACCAGGACCAATTTAGATCAGCTTCTACAGCTTGTAGTTAGAGTGATTGTTCTGCTGTGGTCTTACTCTCTTAGGACGAAGCCCCAAGAGAATTTTTTGGAAAGACGTATTAGGCAAAATTCTACTCTTTGCAACTGATTCCCTCTGCCAAGCCCCCTACTCTTAATTCTATTAGAGGAGCCCAGAGACACTGGGAGGATCTCATTACCTTGAAATACTTAACTTTTGGCTTTGTATGAAGCTGAAGGTGATCTCTGTGGGAGGTTGCTATGACAATTTGCAAACAGTAGAGGCGATGGAACTCCGCAGGAGGTGGCTCCCTTCTCTTTGGAGTCTGCACTAGTTTGGGCCTGCAAGCTGGGTCCTGCAAGGGGCTTGAAGACGCACGCTGCTGGGTGGAGTGGAATGGACCCGTATCCCCAGGAGAACTTAAAAAACTAGATACCTCTCAGAAAAGAAATCCACAGCATAACTTTCTGCCCTGTCATCTGAGATTTGTCCAGCTTTCCTCTCTCGTTCGTAACTGTTGAAATGGCAAAACCGGTGACCTTTGGACAAAGGCATACAATGTGCCACGCAGCACAAGGCGCAGGTGTGAGATGGGCAAGCAATTTTTTTGGTACTCATGGGAAAGAGAAGTAGTACATGGCCAATTAAAAGGGCAGAGAAATTTTTCACGTGTCTTGGAAGGGAAAGAATCATACCAGAGGACGAGAGAATTTAGAGGTGTCGCTTGCTCGCAGCAGAGAGCAGAGAGGAAGGTGTGTCTCTCCCAGTGGCCGCGTGGGGAAAAGGCTTCCAGTTGTAAGGAAATGGGAGGTGTCTCTGATGTTTATTTTTGCCTAGCAACCCACAGCCAACTGCTTCCCCAGATGCCGTCCACAAGCGTCTCTCTGCCTCCCCTTGTCCTAGCGACTGGAGAGCGGTCATTTGGTGTCAGTAAAATCGGGGAGGGTGTGTGTGGCTGAGGTTGAGGTGGGAGGGCAGCCCATCGCCATCGCCCACGCTCAGGGTCACCAGGCTCAGCAACGGCTTCTCCTCGGGGCTTGACTCTCCAGGGTGACCCTAGCATAACTAAGTTATATACATGACAAACTGGAGAGGAGGGTGGTTAAGTCTCTGGGACCGTAGAGTAGGGGACAGTATTGTTTGTGAGCAGCCATTAGAAGCTGAAAATGCATTTGTGTTTAGGGGAGCACTTGGATGGGGAGGGGTCTTTGCGGAGATTTCGATAGGAGAGAAGCAATGGTAGGTGGAGTAGTAAGGCAAAAGAGGGGCGTTGCGGGGGTTAGAGAGGCCAAGGAGGGGAAAAGATCGTTGGTGGGGAAGCCTGCGGAAACAGGGCAGATGGCCAGAGGGGCAGGAGGAGGGCAGGCGGGGGCGGCAGAGTTTTGCAGGAGTAGAGGGGGTAGCTATGCAGAAGATCTGGTGTGGAACTGGGACTCCTGTGGGTGGCTGGGTGGGGGTGGGGTACGTGAGTGTGTGTGGCTAGGGCCGGGGGGAGTCCGGGGAGGGGCCTACGGCGGGGGCGGGGCTGCCCTCCCGGGCCGCGGCGCGCGCGGGCGCTGGTGTGTGAGTGTGCGCGGGGGCGCGCGCGCGCGAGCCCGGGAGGAGGCTCCCGAGCTAGTGGGTCCTCGCGGCACAGCCCGCTCCCCGGGCCCCTATGTGAGGGAAACGGGGAGCCAGCGGTGCGCAGGGGAGGGCGAGGCATGTGCACGGGCCGGGGGGTGCTGCAGCCGCCCGAGGAAGAGGAGGACGGCGGCGGCGAAGAGGAGAGCGGGGGGCTCGCGGTGGCGGGCCCGGGCCGAGGGGATGCAGCGGACTGTGTGTGTCTGGCTGTAGCTGACGCGAGGCGGCGAGGAGGCGTCGGAGACCCGCGTAAGGGGCGGCCAGGAGGCGGCGGCGGCCGCGAGAAGTAGCAGTGGGACCGGCGGCGGAGACGGCAGCCCTGAAATGCATTTTCCTCTCCAGCGGCCATGTTAACCAGGAAACCTTCGGCCGCCGCTCCCGCCGCCTACCCGACCGGTAAGGAGGGCCGTCCCGCCGCGCCGCCCCAGCCGGCCCCCACCCGGCCCCTGGATCAGCCCTGGCGGGGCGGGCAGCCGCTGCCCGCAGGACCTCGAACAAAGTCGGTGGTGAGGTGCGGGAGAGCTCCGGGCAGACAGTGCGCCCTCGCCTCTGCACCCCTGCGCTCATTGTTGCACGCGGGCCCAGGGCGGCCTCGAAGGGAGCCCTCCTCCCCGGCCTGGGTTCGACCTGCGAGGGCTCTGGAGGGGCCGTCCGGGCCTCCTCCCCTCTGGTCCCAAGCTTGGAGAGGCCATTGCGCCCTCCTCGGCCAGCCAACCCCCCCCTCCTCGCCGCTGGCCGCCTGCAACGTGGGCCGCGAAGCTCAGGCCCAGCCCGGCTTCCCCGCGGGTCGCGAACTCGCGCGCCAGGGCCCGACTTAACTTTGCAGCTGCCTGAGCCCCGCCCGTGGGTGCGCGCTGGGGAACCGGTCCCGACGCCCCCTCACTCCCCTGATGCACGTTTTTGCTGTCCCATTCTCTCCCTCCGTCTTCTGGGAAAGAGGATTCGCTGCCCATTGGGGTGGGGGATCTGGATGACTCTCTCCCCCCTGACCCTCTTTTGTCTCCTCCCGCGTGTGGCTCCCAGGCCGAGGAGGGGACAGCGCTGTTCGCCAGCTTCAGGCTTCCCCGGGGCTCGGTGCAGGGGCCCCTCGGAGCGGAGTGGGGACCGGCCCGCCCTCCCCCATCGCCCTGCCTCCTCTCCGGGCCAGCAACGCTGCCGCCGCAGCCCACACGGTGAGACCCAGCCCATGGGTGGCCAGGGGGGTGGGCGGCGGGAGGGCCCCAGGCAGAAGCACCGGGCTTGTGGGGTTCTGACTCTGGGACAAGTGAGGGCGAAGTGCGGGCTGCTCCACGCCCCTGGCCTGTGGCCTGTCCTCGACGCCGCCCTCTGTAACTTGGGTGAGCCAAAGCTGCAGCCACAAAGGAATATTTGTGGCGTGGGCCCCTCACTTCCCCTCCGGAGCCCGCCCACCCCTGAGATCCTCTTCCTTGGAACTTCCTCCTCGCCGCTTTCCTTCTGTCTTCCCTCTTTTTTTCATCCTTGCTTCCCAGAGCTCCCTTCCCTGACCCGGTAAACAGCCCCCCCCCCTCCCGTGGGTAGTGGGTATTTATAGAAACAGATATGTTAGGGGACAGCCAGGCCGCCTTGCCCGGAAAATCGATCCCCCAAAGAGCCTCTGAGGCCTGGCTCCAGCCAGCAGGGAGCACCACCAATTGTCCCCCGCGTGTGTAAGCATGTTTTATGAGTGCTACAGGTTTGAGCACAGCAGAAATTGTAATTAACATTAACAAAAATAAGAACCACAGCAGTAGTCAAAACAAAACAAGCCACCCCTGTAGGATTCTCTAGTTGGACTTTATTCAAAAGGAAAGGGCTAGCTTTGCTTTGTAGGTGGCAAGGGAAGGGTGCCTGACAGGTGCTGTGGCCCCTCTGAGGGCTAAGAGGGAGTGGGGAGCTCAGCTTGGGACTGGTGACTGCAGAGATCAGCAAGCTGGATTGGACTTCAATATGTACCTCTGCTCAGCGCCCAGCGATTGCCCTTGGATGGTGACTGGCAGCTTAGAGGAGGTGTGCACTTGAAGGAGGTGATGGTTTCAAAGATCTTTTTACCAGTTGGGTCTTTCAGAGGAGCCCCCTAAGGTGGTTAGGTGTGAGGGATGTATGGTAGGGATATGGTTTTGTTTGCCAAGTGAAAGTTGAGTTCCTGTAGAAAAGGCCTTTGTAGCCTGTAGGGGATCATCATGTGTTCTGGGGGAACCTGTTTATTCGAGGAAAAATTGTGAGTGAATGTCTGGGCTGGAGTTATGCCTGTTAGATCTAGAGAGAGAGAGAGAGAAAGAGGGAGGGAGGCGCATTTCAGAGGAAACATTTTCTTGTTATATTCTCTCTCTCTCTCTCTCTCTCTCTCTCTCTCTCTCTCTCTCTCTCT